CTCCTAGGAAGCCGGGAAGAACCTTAGCAAGGGCATTGAGGTTTTGCTGGGACAGGTTTCTCGTGGAATCTGCTGGGCTCTCAGGAGTGTATGTCTGGAAAAAATGTTGAAACAACAAATGATTTTTAGAGGGAGAAGAAAACACTTCTACAGTTCTGCTACTTAGTTAAGAAACCCAAAAAAATGGTGCTTTCTAAGAAATATTTACAAGGAAGTACTTAAAAGAAGATTAAAAAACAGTTTTATCACATAAATTCATAAGTTGTCCCAAACAAGAGGACTCACCGGAAGTGCTTTCTCCCAGCCAGAAGGAAGTTCGCCAGAGATGATGGCCTTCAAATCGGCAGCTTCTTCTGGATATTTCTTCTCATATTCGCTAAATTTGGCGTTCCATTCAGCTTCAAGTGCTGCGCCCTCTGGGATATGGCGGCTCCAATGACTTCACAATGCCACAATAAAAAATATGTTAGGCACAAACCCAATAAATTAGGCCTATCTCATCCCAAAAGGATCCTCAAGGTGTAAGGATGTCAGGTTTAGCAAGCACTTATTGTCTTATTCCTTGTGTCTTATATTTTTCTTCTCATTTTCCTTTCAGGACTATCCTATATCTCTCTTCCCCCTTCCTTAAAATGGAAAGCCTATTCAAGTTTTTATAAATAAAAGACTATTTTACCCTTGCTTTTGAACTATTCAAGTTTTTATAAATCTTACATGAAAAAACGTGTCGAGTTAATACCAGACAAAAGATATGGGATAGAGGGAGCATATACTAGACGTAAACCATGTGGGATACTCAATACCATATAAGATGAAGAGGAGAAGTACCTCTTCACATCCTCGGGTACATGGAAAGGCTCAAAGGGCCATCCAAGATTCTTCCTAGTCGCTTCAACTTCTTTAGCTCCCAGTGCACTTCCATGAACACTGTAGGTGTTTGCCTTGTTTGGGGAGCCAAACCCAATGGTTGTTGTCACCTACATGCATGGAAGTTTAGCATATATATACACAAGGACAACAACGGCAAGATGACTACAATAAAATCTTGATCATAAAAGAATGAACCTTGATCAAAGTGGGCTTGTCCTTAACAGCCTTTGCTTCCTTGATGGCAGCCCGGATCTCATCATATCCTGAGTTACCATTCTTTACCCAGATGACATGCCATCCCAGGGCCTCAAACCGAGCAGAAACATCCTCGGTGAAAGCAATTTCAGTATCACCATCAATGGAGATGTGGTTGTCATCATAAAAAGCGATTAGTTTTCCAAGTCCCCAGTGCCCAGCAAGGGAACAAGCCTCGTTTGAAATGCCCTCCATCTGGCAGCCGTCACCAAGGATTGTATATCTGCACAAGATCGATGCGATTAATCAAAGAAGACAAGTGAAGGCACACAATAATCATTCACTTAGGCTACTCAAATTTGGTCGAAACTCTTTGAAATTTTACATATTTAGGTTTACTAGGTTTTTTATTACACACCCAAATATTTTTTCTTCTTCCCAATTTCCCCAGTTTCATCCTCTTCCGTTTTCATTCCCTCTGATTTTGCAGTCTCCAAACAAACCATAGAAATTTAAAAAGAAAAACAAAAAATGATGACAAAACAGTCTGGGAATATTTCCTACGTGTAGTGGTCAACAATTTCGCTATCTGGTTTGTTGAATCGAGCAGCCAAATGTCTTTCAGCAAGGGCCAAACCAACAGCATTCGCAATACCTTGGCCAAGAGGACCTGTTAAAATGAAAGAAGTGATTCTCAAAGGGAGAAAAACACTGCACTCAATCATACTCTGTTTAACATAGGCAAAAAAAATCATCATCACTAGTAGAAATCTAACCAGTGGTAACTTCAACACCCGGGGTTTCAAAGTTCTCAGGGTGACCAGGGGTCCTGCTTCCCCATTGTCTAAAATTCTTCAAGTCCTCTTCCTAATATAAACCATTCCAAAAATGAAAACGAAAATTGAAATCAAATCCCAATCAATACTTCTTCAAACAAGATTTTTTTGTGCTTAAATTAAACTACTATTCTGGTGAAAGAGGACAGAGAATTCCAATCTAGAGCTAATGGAACAATTCAAACAATCAAGCCACACATGTTTATACTGCCAATCAAGTTATAGTAAATTCAATTGCAAAATAAAAAACAAGAGATAACATGATCGATGAATCCAATGAAATACATGTTCAAAAATCAAATCTTTCGTTTTTTGACTGCCCACATAAGAAATATTTAAGCAGATCAAATAACAGAGAAATGGTAGAGTAGATTGAGATCCGATCAAGTGTATAGAGATGCATAGATTAAAGGAAAGAGGAATCATACTGTGACAGAGTCGTATCCAGCAAGGTGAAGCAGGGCGTAATGGAGCATACATCCATGGCCGGCGGAGAGAACGAAGCGGTCGCGGTTGAACCAGTAAGGGTTCTTCGGGTTAAATCTAACGAACTCATCGTACAAGACGTGAGCCATGGGGGCGCAGCCCATGGGCAGACCCGGGTGACCCGAATTCGCCTTCTCCACCGCGTCAACGGCGAGGAATCTGATGGTGTTGACGGACTTGTCAACGAGGGCAGTCTCGGCCTCCTCCACGGTCCCAACAGAAGCAGACGCCCGCACGGCCATTGCGCGGCCGCGGCGGACGGCGGCGGAGGGTACCGCGCGGCGGCGGGCAGAGGCGGAGGCTCTGAGGCCGTTGAAATTGGGGAGCGAAAGAGAGGGGGATTGGAGATGAGGGGCGGAGGATGATGAAGCGCCATGGCGGGGGAGAGAGCGGGAGAGAATAGCTTGGGAGAGAGTGATGGAAGAAGTGGAAGCCATTGTTGAGCTCCAGAGAAAGCTAAGGGATCGTTTGGTTGGTGGGAAACGAAACGAGAGAGATCACAGGAAAACGATGAGAAGAGGATATATACGGATATTTGGAGAGAGAGAGAGAGAAAGAAAGGGCCGTTTAGATATATACATACTCTCCTCCTTCCCTAAATATTTGCCACACTTGTATTCCCGATTCAAAATATCAAATTTTTTCAATAGAAATCATCCTAAATAAGACTAAAACATAGAGAAAAGTACCAAAATAGGACTTTCATTTTTTTTCCCGAAATAGGACTTTGCATTGTGGTAATGTGACTTTGCATTGTGGCAATGTGGCAGTGTACATTTACAAATTACTATACTTTTTTGGTAATGTATATGACCATGTTTGGTAATGTAAGTCCTATTTTGGGAATAAAAACATGGAAGTCCTATTTTAGTATATTTTCAATGTTTTAGTCCTACTTTGGTCTTTCTCCCTTTTTTCAATTCATTTTATTTACATATTGGTATAGAAATAAAAAAATAAAATTTACATATAAAAAAACTACATGAAAAATTTTTCAAAATAAGAGGTGTCAAAAATATTTTATTTTATCAAATAATCAATGAAAACGTAGAAATAAACAAAAGTTCCCGCGACTGCTGAAAAAGCAAACTTTGCAAATATTTCGGGACGGAGGGAGTATATTCGTATTTTTGGAGAATAATTTTTTTCGACGGAAGAGTAAACACTTTAATTTAAAAAAATATAACTAAAACATATTTTCCGTCCCAAATTAAAATTTTCATTTAGTTTTTTATCGTATTCAAAGAAAATAAAATTAATAAAACGAGAATCTAAGATTCATCATTCGGGAGAAAATTGCAGTGGATCACCAATCTCATTCCTCTAATTGACACAAAAGAAAGTGACAAGTTTATTTTGGGGCGGAGCTAGGGAGTACAATTTATATTAAAATAAAGTTTCTTACTATATTTTTATGCACCAAATAAGAGTGCTGGTACTTGGTAGTGTGAAATGTTTGCAATTTGATAATTATATGTTACTCGTAACATTTTATAAAATTTTTTGGTATTATATTTTGACATTATATGCCACAAAATCCTATTTTAATATAAAAATATAAAAATTGTTATTATAGTATATGGAACAATTTTAATTAGTTATTTCTAGTATTTTGAGTATTATATAATTATATTGTATATGTTAGAACTCATATAATTCAGGATCACTTTCTTTATATATTTTCATTACTCATTTGATAAAATAATGTTATACACACGTATTATTCTTCTTATTTTATAGGTAAGATTTTAGATGTATTATTTAATTATATAAATTTTAATTTTAAAATTTATATTATTTTTTTAAATAAATTAAATAAAAAATAACTTTAATCAAACATTATAAATAGTGTCAAAGCTTAATTCATCCTACTCCTTATAATATTCTTCCGGGTAATATGATCACCTAACCACATAAAGTAGGTGGTGTAGTTTATGAAAGCACAATAGTCAATAAATACCGACTACTAATTTTTTTTTCTCTTATAATGTTGTTCTTTCTTTTTTTAATAGTTGAAACTTTTGTTCTGCTTTTTCTTGTTGTTAAGAAAGAAAAGATCATATGGTACATATTATTTTTCGAAGAGATCAACCATATAAATACTAAATACGAGTACTAAATTTGCACAAAAAATTACTGATAGTAATGATAATAACAGGTTACAAAGTTTTTTCCCTTCAAAAAACAGGTTACAAAGTTTTTTCCTTCAAAAAAAAAAACAGGTTACAAAGTTTTTTTATTTTAAAAAATAAGTTACAAAGTAGTAATAATAATGAAATATGGGTAACATGCAAAAAAGCAATATAACCTTCTTTTTTTTGAGAAAAATGCACCATTTACTCCCGAACTCTTCAAAAATTGCACGGTTTACCCCCGAGCATTTAAAATTGCACCGTTTATCCCAGAACTCTTCAAAAATTGCACGATTTATCCTTAAACATTAAAAAAATGTATCCGACCTGGCATGTCATCCAGTCCATCCATCATCCAACTATCATTCATATTCTTTCAGATTTTCATCCATTTAATCAGATGGGCGGTTCGGGTATCCATGGAGTAAGAAGGAGATTGTCATCCCTATATAGATTATTATGAATATAATTGTCCAGGACTCCAGGTAATGACCATATATTGTGAAGTGGAGTACTCAGAACCACAAGAACAAATAGATGCATTAAACATTCCAACAATGTGGTAGCTACTCCATAGTTTTGTGTACTTTTCAAGCAACACAAGAACACCATGTCTAACAACTAAGACAATATGTGTCGCTAAATTGTGGGATTTTAGTGGGTTTTTTTTTGCTGTTATAGATTAAGATGATAAATATGCACTTACATCATTTTAACTCGTTTGCAGCTGGAACCCGAGTTTCGGATGCCTCTTCCTGTCACGGCATATGATGCACGTGCTGATTGAACAGTGGGCGACTTGTCAATGTGTGCATTTCTTTCATTCCCGTTCCAAAAAAGAATGATTCTGTTGGTACAAGCATGCGACCAGCTATCACCTAAAATTAAGCATGTTTTAGCCACAACGATAAAACTAATAACCGTGAAATGGAACTATGATCGATATCAAAGACTTCATGGCTGTTTCTGCCACTTACCCAAGGCAAGAGTTAATCGATATGAACCTTCAGAACACTTGGTGGTTACTTGATTCAATAGAACAACCTGCAAAAGTGTATAATTCATATATAATCTAAATGGAGTAGTTCAAGTACAAAGTCGAAATGCTTGTGTGCTAACTTTGCACTCCCTTTGGTAGAAGACGAATTTTCCTTTACCTTTATTTTCAGGTTTTTTTACCCATTTAATTTCAGGTAGTATTTTCTTTTAAAATATATTTATTGACAGTAGCAAATTTACCCACAATTGCAGCAACTTCAGCCATTTAGAGGTCGTTTTTGTAGGGATGAATTTGGATAAAATGACTGAAGTTGCAGAAGTTGTGGCTGAAATCGTTGAACTATCAGATGAAATGGTTAACACATCTTTTCCTTTATTTTAAAAAAGAAATAAAATAATTTATGAATAATATAGTAAAATTATCATTTATTCACTCCCATTTATTTAAAAGAATTGCAAAACAGTGCCTTCTGCAATTTTATTTTAATTATCAACCAATTTAGCCCATGTAAATAAGGCATTCTTTCAATGACCGCAGTAGCAACTAACATGTTTGATGTTTGCTAACTCAGCATAGTGTTATTAACAGTTAATAGCTTAATGTGTAAAATGGCAAAATACTCAACAATAGGCTTTTCCATATGTTGTAGGGTAACCATTTTCGAGAAGGGCATTTAACACCAAAATGTTATCTACCAAGCACCACAAGTCCACAACAAGGCTTTTTGAGTGGTCAAACATGCTCTTCTCCTTCAAAATGCTAAAGCGAGTATTTGGTTTAATTTTGGCTGAAAGGTACAAAGGCTGATATAGAAATAGTTTTTCCAAACCAGCTGCTGTTTTGAGCTAAATTTTACCCTTACCAATTGGATTCCTAGTTTGGTGGGCATAAAAAAGACGGCTAAGATACTCATGTAGTCTCCGTATGAAGCTAAGAGAATACTACTTACAGCCAAACTCCACTTTTTTGCAAGCTTCATCAGCTTTAAGGCCAACCCACCAAGAAGCCGAGTTCTCAGAGCCATATCAACAAAATCTTGACGAAAGTGGAAAGTTATGCTATCAATAACCACCAACTTCACCTATAACAAATAGAGACAAATTCATAAAAGCTTCAATAAATAACAAACAGGAAATGCAAGGTAACGGGATCACTCTACATACATCTTTATGTTCTGAGACAAACTTATCCAGGTAATTTATGACAGCAATTTGCTCAGTGTAGCTGCAGACACGGAAACAGAATATATTACTAAGGAAATCTTTTGGCTGTATTTTCACTGGACAGGCTTGTCTATCCTTGTGTAAGAGACCGCTATACTCTTGCATATCCTCAACACAAGCTTCTGCAATTTGCAAAACCCGCTCCACCATAAAGCTACCTTCTGTGTCTACAATAAAAAATTCAACTGTCAGTTGAAAATCTGAAATGATAATGTTAGCTCACATTTGCAAAGAAATTACTCCCTCCGTCCCAAAAAAAATGTGCTATCCACCAAGGTACACCTTTTTAATTTGGGTAAGGTCTAAGGTACAACTCTGGTAAACAATGAATCCTAAATTTATACTAATAATTAAGAATCTATTCATTTCTAAAAATAAATCTAACACACTTAACTAGGGCGGAATGATTTGCGTGTGGAAACATAACATTAAATTCAACGAAATTTAGCTCCTTGTGTTGAAATAGGACTCATTTCTGAGATAAGAACAAATTTGGAAACACGGGTCTGTTTTTGGGTGGGAGGAAGTAAATGTTACAACCTATATAAATTGCCTTTCCTTGAAGTCCACCATATTCAGCTGGTATCTGGACATTTACTGCAAGTTGTATCCTGCATATCTTAGCCATGAGAAGATAGAAAGCTAGTTGTATACTGGCACATGGACAATATGAAAGACTAAGAGAGTGAGTACCCACCCAAGTTGTGTTTTACCAATTCCTGGCACTCCGCCTAATGTGGTCAAATGGAGAAAAAATGAATAAAAAAAAGGCAAATATAGATTAGGAGCCTATAAAAAACATATATGCTGCAGAGGAATGCCATCCAAAAACAAAACTACCCGTTAATCATCATCCTTCCTTCAAGATAATCCAAAACTCACCAATTTCTGTAACTTCTTGACAGCTTATTCCCCCACCCAATATATGATCTAGGTCTGCACAACATGTAGTGATTCTGCCACAAGCTTCCTCATCACGAAGCATATCCCAGGCATTCCGTGCTCCTAGTGAGAGAAAAAAAGAGTATTTATTATTGAAATGATAAATAACAAGGACTATTATCACGTCCAGCAGCTTTAATTAACAAAGAAATAAATACTGATCAAGAAACATAATCCATATTGAATTCTGATGAAAACTTCCTTCTTACTGGGCTTGTGGATTTAAAGAATGCACATACATATCAGAACTATGTAACGTAGTTTATTAAAGTGTAATGTTCTTAGTTATAGTTAAGTAAGACATTATGCAAGGCAATGCAACAACAACAAACTCAGTATAATCCCAACTCCGTTTGGGTCTAGGAGCCAAGATGTATGCAAATCTTACCCCTATAAAAAAGAGGCGTTCGAAACATATTTTACCGAGTAATACATTGCATCATACAAAACCTTAGTACTTCTAGAATTCTATTTTGTCTAAAAATATGATTAAGATTATTTCTATACCACTGACAACATCATGACTTCGAGTTGTTCTTCCTAGTCCAGCTCTCTGAGATGCAGCTTCGAAAACAGCAAGTGCCTCATTCTCTGAAATGTTTAAATCTGCATAACAACAAAATGGGTTACACTCCTAAGAAGGATAATATCATAGTGCCTCAAGAAGTGTTTCCCTTGTTGGTAAGATACTTTCATGTAACATCTGACCAGTTAGAGTTGGCCTCAGTTAGACTTTTTCTGACCATCATGCAATGATAATTTTGTTTTTTCATATAAACAAATTGAAACAATGATTACCAAGTAATACTGAACTGTAATCTTATTTACATATGCAGGTTTCATAAGAACAACTCCAAAAACTTTGAGGAACAGAAAAACAACAATAAAAGTTGATTATCGCTCTCTAAAATGCAAAAAAAACGCAGGCAATGGATGAGAAATTAAGAAATCAATAGGCGAATTGCAGAGGAATGAAGAGACGAACCTCGAGCAAGGTCCGAGGAAGAAACGGAGAATAGGGAGGAGAGAGAAGAGTGGCCGGCGGAAATCAACTTCCCCCTTAGCGACGCCGATATGGGTAGGGTCGACACCTCCATTTCCGCCGTGGGAAAATCCCTATCTGAGTTCCCAATTCCCTCCTAAACCTCCATTTTGTTCAGTTTTCTACATTTTCGCGCCGCCAGGTCGGTTGAGTTTTCCTATGGTTTGAATTCAGGCAAAAAATATTTTGATTAATAACTCAAATGTTATCTTAAATATATTCTGGAGTATCCTGAATTTTTCAAAAGAATTCTCGAAACCTACATCATCCAAAATTTAAAAGAGGTCCTTAAAATTTGTGCTAGTATATTCCGAGAGTATATTTTATCTATTTGATCGTTATGATTAAAAATGTTATTACTTTGATAAATACTAAATTTTATATTGATGATAATTGATTTATTAATAATTTGTCGAAGTAAAAGAACTTTTAATGTAACATCTAAATTAAGAGAATGTACTCTTGAAGGTATAATAATAGTGAAATTTGTACTAAATAGGACTAAAACATAATGACTTTCCCAATGTAGGACTTGAACTTTTTTATTCCCTAAATAGGACTTAATAATGACCTGGTGGGAGGAATAATGTCCAGTAATGATGGACATTTACTTGAATAATGACTACTTTATAATGACCAAAAGTCCTACATTGGGAAATAAAAACATATGGTCCTATATTGGGAAAGTCATTATGTGTTACTCCTATTTAGTTAAATTTCTCATAATAATATCACAAGTTTTAAAGATTCCAAAGTATATTTCGAATAATGTGAGACTTGAGAGTTTTTACAAAAAAAATTAAACTTACCGCAAAATATATTTAAGGTAACATGAGACCTGTGACTTATTACTAGAAATCGGTGGTATCCGGAAGTAATTTTTTGTTGGATTGGATCCTTAAAATGTGGCATGGATTGAAAAAAAATTTATTTGGTTAAGTATAAATTAATGAACTCTTTTTTTTGTCCATCTCAAAACAATTTTCATACTCTGACCTCACAAATTTGAAGGGTTGAAAACATGTTAAAAAGTGGACACTTAAATTATTAAAGAACAAACATATTTTGAATTACACATCTTTTTTCAAAAAAATAAAATATGTGAAATTCTTTTAATACGGATGAGTAAAAGAAGTGCTTCTTTTCGAAATTCTTTTCGAAAAATAAAATGTGTGAAAATTACTTTCAGACCTAACGAAATATTGTATGCGTCCCATATGCACCTTCGACGATGCTTGTCGTCGTTAGAAGCCCGCCATTGTTAAAAAAATGTAAACATGTTTAAAACGTCTACAAGAACATAGCCTTAGATATAATTTAGCATCTCAACTTTCTCTTTGAAAAGAAGTATTAAGTGGGAAATGAGCCAAGCCATATGCGCCACTTCATTATTCTCCCTCTTAACAAAAGACTAAACTAAAGAAGAACTCTTTACAAATCTGCAGTACACATTGTAGAATAAAATTTAATAAATTGATCAAAGAATACCCCAAATTTCATGCCATTACAAAGACTTTAGAGAGTCACTTTGTCTTTCTTTGATGCATAAAAGATATAAAGCCCAAAGACACCCTTTGGCTTCCTCTATAGCAAACACATCAAACCTCTCTTTTGGTTAGCCCCATACTGTCTAAACCACCCTAGAGGTGTATCTAAGAGCCAAACATTTCCCAGCTTGGCACCATCAACACTTGCTATTCTCTAGTTTGAAAGCATTCAAACATTCATCAGGAAACACGGCGTGTTTTTGGGAGACATATGATCAACTTGGTTTGGGTTTTTTCTCTGGCGGTTAGACAATAGTAGAAGAAGATGAAGACGCATGAATGAGAGAAGTAAGGGAAGGGTGAACCCTGGCGGTCTTCAGGGAGCGCGCTTCACTTTTTCCCTCTGCATACTCTTCTCCTAATGGCCACCTTGGTCGCAAATCAAGCTGTGTTTCAAGCAAGGGGATTAACGGAGTTCATCAATTATGCAATTATAGAAAACATTATTTTTTTTTATAAAGCAGTGATTATATATTCAAAAAACAAGGGGATTCCCCAGAATCTCTGAGTTTTTCAAATTCAAACATGTGAAAAGAGGATGAACGGCAAAGCAGAAGACAAACCAAAGCATCTTCAGGTTCATCTGGAGGAGGCGGAGGATCAAATCTTCCCACCCGGAAATGCTCAATCCCAGTCCATGCAACCATCACACCTATGAAAACCAAGTTCGGCTTATTTACCAAAATGCCACCACATTTTCATTTTTTTCTTCTGATTATTTTTACTTATTCACAACCCTTATGATAAAGAATGAATTTATATCATATTAAGACTCAAAGTTCCATCCTAAAAAGATTAACTTGATGCGAGAAGGGGTAGTCCAAGCATGGTTTAATAATAATAATAATAATAATAATAATAATAATAATAATAATAATAATAATAAACATTTATTTTATATTAGACTAATGTGTAATGATCTAACACTTAAATAGTACTAACACACTTTGACTTTTTTTTAGCAAGAAACAGCATACTACTCACCATTGTCAGTGCATAGAGTGGGAGGAGGACAGACAAGCTGAAGTCCATTCTTCTTAATAACCCGATTAAGCCGATCCCTAACGTACTGATTTGAGGCCACACCTCCAGAGACAACCTGAACAAGGCTAATTAAGCTATCATTAATATAAGAAGAGGGTGTGGAATTGAATCGATGCAGAAAGAACCCCACCATATGGTTCACGGATGGTTCAATCTTCAAGGCCCATTCAATTGCTCGCTTGCACTTATCCTCCAAATGTAGCACTGCCACTCGCTGCATGAAGCAAAAAGGGAGAAGGCTGAGAAATCAACTCTAAAGAGTTGAAGAACATTATGCATGTCTTGAAGTTTAATGCTTTTGATGGGAAACCAATTATTTACGGTTTGCTTAGAAACCGGAAAATGTTAGGAAAAGACAAGAGAAGAGAACTTTGGAAGGAAAAAAAGTTTTGCACAAAATTTTAAAAGAAAAACGCTTCAAACTCAATGAATCAATACTAAATTTTAGTTAAATTGTGTGTTGTTTACATATCTTTCCAGATTCTACTCCCTAAAATGTAAACACTAACAAGTTGTAAACATATGTAAACATTTTGAAATTTTCTGTTCAAATTTGAATTTCATTTGTATTGTAAAAATAAAGCCAAACATTAAAAAATCTTTTCCTTGGCACTTTTCCCTTCTTCCTACTATTTTCTGAGTTTTAAGCATAGCCTTGCAGAACTTAGAACCTGAAAAGATGAAGCAATATCTGCCCGAGCTTGCCTATCCTCACTAGAAGCTGAAGAGATGGGTATTCTGGCATCACTGCAGACAATATACATACAAATTTAAAAATCAAAAGTTAATTAAGAATTATGTGTAAGAAACCATTTTTCAATGTTGTGTTCCAAACCAATAAAATGAAAATTATTTTTCTAATAGTCAAATTCAATTAAACAAATAGTTAAACATTATAAAAGCACTTTTTTTGAAAACAGAACACTATACACAAACACACACACACACTAGATGAATGTCAATAAAATGATGGTTTCCCTAAATGACATAATACATTTTTCTGGCTTCAATTGCCAGCCTCACTTGTGTCTTCAGACCAGCATATGAGAAGTTGCAGTTTTTGTATTGTTTCATCGGAACCTTTAAAACAAAACAAATTCAAACGAGAGACATCAAGATAAGCTATGAGTATATTTATGTGTCATACAAATTATGTGACTAAGACCATGTTCTCTTCAACTTATTCTTATTACTTATTACTTTTTCTTTTTGGAATTAGATCAGATGAGATCGGAAATAATTTTAAATATAACTACATTCAGATCAGAACTTATTCCAATCGTATCAGAACCATTCAAATCAGGTGAAGAGAGCATGGCCTAACATTATATGCAACAGAATCTGCATTACTGACTATGGGTATATTTATGTGACTTACATTAAATTTAACAGAATCTGGATTACCCTCTAGAGCTAGTTTCTCTATAGCTGGGCCCCCACTTTTCCTCAAATCAAGCCCAAGCCATTTCGCTATTTTGTCATATGCCTCACCAATTGCATCATCAATTGTGGTCCCAAGTTGAATGTATTCACCAAGATCACGTGCAAGAATTAGAAGGTTATGCCCTCCTAAGAAACAATCATCATGACCTTAATCCCAATCTTGGGGTCGATGGCATGAAATTAATAGCACCATTTTATTGTCTAATATTAGTCGCACAACTTAACAATATAAATTTAGGTGAAAATAAGCAAAAACAATAAGAATGGCCAAAAGTATTTATTTGTAGCAGTTAAGCACCGTAAAACACCCTTATCACACTCCTGCATCAATTTCATTTACACGATTAGCACAATTTTGAAGGGAAAAAAATATTGGTGTAAAGTTCAATAGTTCAATGCTTTAAGTAGAGAAGTGTTACCTGAGACAAGCAAAGCCATGAAAGGAAATTGCATCTCTCTTTCCACTAACCTAGACAAATTAAAGCATTGGTTTTCACTTTTGGGTGCCACTGAAGATTTTTATACTCTCATTGTATATGCCTCATATGTTGTTGTTTTTGTTATTGTGCTTTTGGCCTACTTAGGGTGTAACACCTTAGACCCCTCCCATCCACATGTGCCTAATTGGAGTATTCCGAAAATTCCATATTCCAACTTCGATTGGTCATTGGTCAGTTAGTTACATTATAGTAATTAAAACTTTATTCGTTTAAATACATGTATATTTCTAGGCGATGTTAATTTGACTATATTGTACTTGGAATCTAATTTTTACCTGGCTACCAAAGTATGAGCTTCCATGTGATGGACGCCAACAATCGGTAAATTGTGAGCACCCGCAATTTGCCGAGCTTTTCGGATGCCAACTAGATACAAAAGAATAAATAGTACTACTTAATAAGTAAACACTACTGTTACAAGTCACATTCCGATCTAAATAGAAAATGAATAATACACTTTTTTTTCCTTTTAGTCTGGCAAGCGGGGAAAAAAAACTTTTTTGTGAGAAAGCACTAAAGTGAGAAGAAGCAAAGAATGGATAACTAATCACCACGCAAACACAGGCTTAAGCCAGGGCCTATTGTGACAGCAACGGCAGTAAGATCCTTCTCGGTTAGTCTAGCTTTATTGAGGGCTTCTTGTACTACCTGCAATTTGAAGGAATAGTTTTTTACAGGAATTTTTTTATAGATAGCCTTACAATATTGAAGAAACAATGGGCATGTATTTTAGGCAGTGTAAGAGCAAAAAATATAAGATAAGGAATATAAATGCACATCCACAGCTGTTTTTTCTACTACCAAGTAGGGGTAAGGTCTATGTACACACGCCCTCTTTGGACCCTACTTGTGGGATTTTACTGGGTTTTTGTTGTTGTATACTTGTATCCACTAACTTTTTTTCTAAGAATAAGTTGCCTTTCAATTTAGTGTGTAGCGCTTCACTGATTTCATTTTCCATTACATTTCCCACATCTAATATACACTCCCACACATTCATTGATTGGTAAAAGGTTTACAAAAAATTTTGCACTCACATGATCAAGTAAAATGGTATACCTGATCAATAACTTGTAGATGCGCTTCTTCTGCCATTTTGGGAGCAACTCCTCCATATTTAGCAAGCAGTTCTGCCTTGAACATATAGTTGAAACTTTCATAAAAAATCCATTTGATTACATGATAAAGGGTCCATTCTTTTCAACTTATTTTCAGTGACGATACTTTTCCTTTCACTCCAGCACTTTTCAGTTAACAATAAAAACTAGATTTCTCGATCTTCAGTTCGGCTTAGCACTTTTCAGTTTAGTTCAATAAATTGCAGTGTAAAAGAACGAACGGGTAGTAAGAAATTGGAAACCTGAAAATCATACAACTAATCAAAAAGCATTGAAAATCCAAATATATAATACCTGAGAAGAGATGACCTGGCTTAATATGTCACCATTGCTGTTCACCTGAAGAACCAAAATTCATAATCAATTTAACCTAAAACAAGAAAATCCAAAGGCTAATCACAATCTCATAAACGCGCGCATATGTATGTGAACTCACAACAGCAGCAGCAGTATCATCGCAGCTAGTTTCAATGCCCAGAATAACCAAACTTTCGCCTGCGATTTGCTGATTTCTCCTCGCCGCCATTGCAAGGTTGTAACTTGAGGAGGAGGAAGAAGAAGAAGAAAATAGGGCCGGGAGAGGTTTGGGTGAGGCGGGGAGAACATGCCACGGCGTTTCCGGCCACCGCCTCTGTGGCGCTCCTAGATTCTTGAAAGCTCTGATTTTGAGGTAAAGTGAGGATCTTTGAAGTGGGTGGAGACGGGAAATTGTCCAAGATAAGCTGGGAAGCCCCATCGTCATTCCTCTTGCTCGGTCGGACGCCGGCAGGTTGCTGGGTTGGGGACTTTGGGTGGCTTCGGGTCTATTCGAAATGGGCCGATTTTATAGGCCCACATGTCCCAACATTACATTACTAAATGGGTGGGGTTCCCATGACATTGGGTTCCAATGTCATGGGATGACCCGGAGTGCTCCCAAAGTCAAAATCAACTTGTGGGTGCAATTGACGGGGGTAGGAAGTGTGTTCG